AGATGTGCAGTAAGGTTTCGGAGTTTTCATTTTCACCCTGGGGGTCAAATGGGGGTCGAAAAATGACGTTTTTTATGCAAAAAGCCCCTGGTTCCCTGAACTCCTCTTACATTTTACACAGTAGCATTACGTCTTTTGGGAGATGGTTGGTGGTGTCATGTTGATGTGCAGTAAGGATTCGGAATTTTCATTTTCACAATGGGGTCAAATAGGGGTCGAAAAATGACGTTTTTTATGCAAAAAGCCCCTGGTTCCCAGAACTCCTCTTACATTTTACACAGTAGCCTAATCATCTTTTGGGGGATTGTTGGTGGTGTCCTATAGATGTGCAGTAAGGTTTCGGAATTCTTATTTTCCCCCTGGGGGTCAAATGGGGGTCAATTTTTTAAAAAAAAATATTTAACATGTTTAAACATCCTGGTTCCCAGAACTTCCCTTATATTTTATGCACTAGCCTTAAATCATGATCATTTGGAAGATGATTGATTTTGTCCTGTGGATGTGTAAAATGGTTTTAAAATTTACATTTCCATGTGGATAGCAAATAGGGGCAGGAAAAAAATGGCCCCTCCCTAACCCATGGGGTCATGATTTGTACAAACTTGAATCTACACTTCTTGGGAATGTTTCCATATTAATCATGCTTTTGTTGTTCTTAAAAAGAAGAATTTTGAAGATTTTTTTTCCTTTTAAATCTCTATAAAACTTTGATCCCTTATTGTGGCCTGACCCTTTCCTCGGAGGTCATGATTTGAAAACTAGAAATATGTCCATAGGACATAAATGCCCCGCCGAATGTATATTACTAATGCAACATGAAAATTTGTATGAGTGTATGAAGTTTGATGAGAATATCTTGAACAGTTTCTTTAAAATTGAAACTAAAATCTAAAAAAAAAAATGGATATAGATGATAAATTCTCACAAAATTATGTATAAGTGCATGCTTACATAAAAATATCTTAGATTGTTTCTTTAAAACTAAGCAAAATACAAATTAAAGAGAAGGGAGGTCAAGGTCACAGGAAAGTGCAAGGTGAAAAGTTTTTGATGCAGTTGTATAGCTCTCACTAATACATATCAGCATATTAGGTTTGATAAAAATATCTTGAATGATTTATTTAAAACTGAGCTTAACACTTATTTGAGAAAAGAGAGGTCAAGGTCAAAGGAAAGGTTGAGGTCAAAATGCTGATACAGTTGAAAAGCTTATATCAGTATGTATTTACTATTAGCATAGAAGTTCAATAAAAATATCAGAAATGGTTTATTTAAAACGTAGATAAACATTAATTTAAAAAAGTGAGGTCAAGGTCAAAGGAAAAGTCAAGGTCAAAGAAGTTGATGCAATTGATATCTCTCAGCAGTATATATCAGCATACGGAGTTTGATAAATATATCTTGAATTGTTTATTCAAAACTGATCTAGACACTAATTTAAGAAAAGTAAGGTCAAGGTCAAAGGAAAAGTCAAGGTCAAAAATTTTGATGCAGTTGAAAAGCTTACATCAGTATGTATCAGCATATGACGTTTTATTGACATGACAAACACTATATGCCTCGGCCATATTCATGGCAGGGCATAAAAAACTTGAATCTACACTATATGAGGATGTTTCCATATCAAAATGACTAACAAGCAAATTCAAAGAATTGTGGTCCCCTGCTTTCCGTGTCCTAGTGGATGGGATGCCATTATTTATGACATATTGTTTCAAATATGCAGGCCTTATCATATGTCATTCAAAAGTAATCACCAAAGTTAAAGTTTTTGAAAATTAGGTAAAACATCAAGGTCAAGGGGTAAAAAAATCATAGCATGCTTGGAAACATCTTGTTACAGGTAATGACAAATATAAAAGTCCTATCTCTTCTCAATCAAAAGTTATAAGGAAATATAACATTTTTGAAAAGTAGGTTAAACTTCAAGGTCAATGTCACAGAGTCAAAAGTCATGATATATTTAGAAAGGTCTTGTCACAGGTAATATACATGTATAATATGAACGCCCTATCTTTTCTCTTTCTCTTTCAAAATGATCATTTAAAATAATGTTAAATTTTTTGAAAAGTGGGTCAAACTTCAAGGTCAAGGTCCTGGGTTCAAAAATCATGGTATGTTTAGAAAGTTCTTGTAGGTAATGTACATGTGAAATATGAAAGCACTATCTCTTATTATTCAGAAGTTATGACCAAGGTTAAATTTATTGTGACAGACGGACAGACTGACAAACGGACAGACTAACAGACAAATGAGATTTAATGTCCCCTAGGTCCCTTTTGTGAAAACAGATGACAATAATGCCCTTGCTGTTCATGAGAAGAAGATTTATGATGGAAAAAATCCCCTGCATTTTTCTATGTAAATCATTGGATCCCCATATGTGGCCCCACCCTACCCCAGTGGGTCATAATTTTAACAAATTTGAAGCTACACTAAGTCTATGTAAAGAAAGTTTCAACTTTTTGGGCCCAGTCAGTGGTTCTTGATATTAGACTTTTTTTAAAATGATACCACCAAATTTTCACTAATTCTTGATTATCCCCCCTTGAAAGAAGGTGTGACCCTTCACTTGAACAAACTTGAATCCCCTTTCCCCGAAGATGCTTTGTGGCAGGGTTGGTTGAAATTGCCCAGCGGTTCTAGTGAAGAAGACAAAAATGTGAAAAGTTTACAGGCGGGCAGATGGATGACAAACAAAATGTGATCAGAAAACCAGAAAAACTCAAGTGAGCTAAAAACTGATGATCACAAGTACTTGGAAAGAGTTACAGTATTTGAAAAGCAGTTTTGTTTTCAGAAGCTGAAAATGTATGACTTGTATCCATGTTGAAAAAATTTCACATTTCAGAAAACAGTATGATTAAAAATAGTTAATCAAGGTGCTTTGAGTAGCAAAATAAGCTAAACTGGTATAGCTAATTCAACCAGAGAGCTTAGTGAATTTTAAAATGCACAACCTTTTCAACTCTTAATCATTCTTAAAATATTTATATCATCATTTCTGATTCAAGGGAGAACTAGAGATATGATCAGAAGTATATCTGTTGACTAATAAACATGTACATGTATATTGTGTTTTTTAAGTCATTAATGTTTGTTTGTCGTTAAATGTCCCTCTTGGGAATTTTTCACTCATACGGAGACACCACCACTTAAAAATAATGAAGACGTACAAGTCGGATTTGAGGTTAACATTCATTTTAGGAATTTTCAACAATTAAGACATAAAGAGATAACTCCTTCCCCTTGCCCCTTCCCCTTCCCAGACCCCTGTTTGTTCATGTATGCTAACTAGTCTAATACTTTGGTTTGACATAAAAAAAAATGTGAATATATACAAATAGTTTAATGGTCCATCTCTTTGAATGATTTTCATTCCTAATTCTAGGAGGGTACATGGGTTGACCCAAATTCATGAATGAAATGTCAAGTAATCTTTTCATTGATGCACTTTTATTTAATTTGATGTAGTCATATTATGAACATTTCCAGTTCATTAAGAGAGTGGGGATGACCTCCAGGGGTTCATAACCTTAAACCATTAGATGTACATAACATAATAACACAAGAAACAAAATTATGTATAGTCAAATGGAAAAGTTTTCTACTATTTAGGAGTCACATGATCATTTGTCATTTCAGGGACAGGGAGCGGCAAGGGAGATTGGACCCCCCCCCCCCCTGGAATTTGCAGAGTTATTTAAAAAGGACTATATACTGATTTACAGAAGCAAATAAAAAATGACTTTGGATGCCCCCCCCCCCCTTTAAAAACATGGACCCCACCATCATTGTTTTTATTTTGTTCGTTTGTTTTTTTTTTTTTTTTTTTGCTCCTCAGGAAATTCTGGGCTGGAATTTTTTTGGACCGAGGTGTGGACCCCCCCCTCCCCGAAAAAAAATTCCCGGATCTGTGCCTGTGACTGAATGTAATGTCGACAACGGGAGATAACTCTTCAGAATGTGAAATTCGTCTATTGTGGCATCCGATGATCCACTCTCTACCATCGGCTCATACATTCAGTGTCAGAGAGAAACGAACGACAACTCTGCATGGGAGATTGCCGATGATCTTTGATCCTTTTTAATCTTTAACCTAACCATTTGCATTTCGGTTTATTTTACCCCAATCTATACTTAAACTTGTACTTACCGACTGTCATAGGTCCTGTCAACTTCATGAAATATAATCCAATTAAAACACAAAATGAATTAATTTCCACTGATATACATGTAACACTGCACCATGTCACATGGCATGTGCAATCTAAAAATGATAATGGTAAAACTAGTACTGGTAGGGTGACGCAAGCCCAATGTGATGTAGAAATTTTCAAAAAGGTGTTCACATACATGTACAGTACAGGAACAAATTTTAAATTATCATAACAAACGATGTTTTAACATAACTTTGCCATCTAGGCCTATTTCCAAAAACAGGCAAATTGTGTGTGTGTGTTGGGGGGGGGGGGGGTGACAAAATTGATTGGGTATGGCTTTTCAAGGAGGTTTTTGCCTAATCAAATACTAAAAAAAGTTTGCACATTTTGATAAATTCATCAAAAACGCTTTGTACTAAAATAATATTATTTGTTGTTGAGAAAATAAATTTAAAAACTTCCAATTATGGGCCAAAAATTTATACCCCCCCCCCCTTTTATCAAAACCTAATTTACATCATTAATTAAATTCTGTTATTTCAGACTGGTAATGAATTAAGTATATGAAATGCGTATAAGAGGTTCATGGGTCACATGGTCACCTGAGCATTTTATGCTCGATTTGACGAATACATGTACTGTGTAAATTATAGAATTATTTGGACTTTTTCCTTGGTAAGCCCAATGTGAAGGAGTGTGCATTTAGAGGCAAACACCTTAGTGCGGGTATTACTGTCTCATGACAGCATCTAGTTTGAATTGTATTTCATCCATCCATTCATTTATAGGAAAAGTTGATGTTCATATTCGAAATTTTGTTATTAATATACAAAAACTTGTAATTTCGTATTTTTGATTTTCGACAATTATTTAATTTATATTGCCTATTCAAAAAATCCTGTTAGACGTTATTATCGCAAACAGATCATTTGTAGAAAGCAAAACTTGTTTGTCCAAGATTGTATATCTTACTTGTTTGTCTGGGTTTGTTTTGTCCGTGTTTGTCTAAATCTTATTTATCTGTCCGGGATGGCGTAAAGCTTACTTGTTTGTCCGTGTTTTTAAAAAAGCTTACTTGTTTGTGGGGGTTTGTATAAACACAAGATGAAACACTTCCTTTAAGTTTGGCTTAATGGTGGCTTATAGGTCCTTAATGATGGTTTAATGGTTGTCTTTAAGTCACCATTAAGCACCTTTAAGCTACATTTAAGTAATAAATACACCACCATTAAGTTACCATTAAGCCATCTCAAAGTCCTTAATGGATGCTTAAAGGTAGCTTAATGGTGGCTTAATGGTGGCTTATAGGACAATCATTAAGTCACCATTAAGCCAGACTTATAGGTGCTTAATGTCCAAACTCCATTAAGCTACCATTAAACCACCTTTAAGCCACCATTAAGTCACCATTACGCAGTCGATAAAACTGCTTTTACGGGTTAAATATCATTTTTATAATGATTTCTTCACAAAAATTATAAATATCGAGTTTATACATTTGTTAATTCAGCAAAAATAATGTAAAAGAAATTAAATTAAAAAAAAAAAATAAATGAAAAAAAAGACGCATTCCCAACAGGATTCGATCCCACGACCTTTAGATTGGAGGGCGAAAGCTTTAACCACTGAGCTATCAAGGCTGTTGAAATTAAAATGAAATATAAAACCTTTATTTTAAACAAAACTTGTTTGGAATGGTTACAGGTACCTGTATATGTATTTTTTTCTGATGTTTATATTTATTAATCAATAATACAAATAATTATATCTATATATATGTATATTTTTTAAAAAAGAAAAAGAAAAATTTTGATAAAGTTTTATATTACGTTAATATTTCTTAACCGTGGACCGGAGTTCGGTGTGATGGTGTGAAACAACTTTTTGATTTTAAGTAACTGAATTCCTTGTTCTGTTATTCGCAGATTTATAAGCATGAAAAGATTGAAATTCAATTGATATAAAAAAATTTTTTATTAAAAAGGAATATATCATCGAAAGAGAACGATTGGGGGAAAAAAACAGATTATAGGCCTAGTTCTTAGTTGCTGCGGATATTTACGATTTTTGACAATCTTTGCGTAACAATTTAGTTATAAAATATTTTTGTAACATATCATCTTCAGTTTTAATTCTTTTTATATCATTATGGGTATCAAAATAATTGTCTTTTGTGTACAATTATAATTTCTAATTTGTTATATGCTTGCGTAAATTTTAAGTTTTGTAAAAAAAAAAAAAAATAGATCATCAAAATCTGTCACTGTACGTTCCCGTGTATAGTTTCCTGTTAATTGACCGGGGACTGGTGGGGACACCTAATTAAGGTCTATTGTCTAACTAATCGATATACTGTACACTGATTATTTTACCCCGCTTCTCAATGTGTATAAATCTGGTCGGATACCCTGTTTAATCTGATCAGCTGTTCTTCTGAAAATTGATTTTGAAATAACAAACATTGAAGACCGACTATATTTTGATTAGTTCTTACTTCTGCATTATTTTAAATAAATTCTTACTTCTGCAGTATTTTAAAAGAAAGGAAAAAATAATGGCACTTAACCACGAATTAATTCAAATTATTCATGAATTAATTCAAAGATTGGCAATATAATCAATACCTATATATATTTTTTTATATCTTAAACATTTCTCTACCCAAATAACAATTAAGAGACTTAGAGATATTCCAGAAGAAAATGACTCTAATTACATTTCCTATGAATTCGGCAGTGGAACGTGGCTCTCCAAACACGAAAGAAAAATATGTTATTTTTTTAAAATTAATATATATTATGTATTTATGGATAAAAATAATTTTTAAAACAAGTATTCAAACAAACTGATTTAAGGGAGCGAAAATTTTAAGGCATTTGGTGAAGCTGTTCTCAGTTCCCGAGTTTATACGCATTGACAAAGATGTTAGAAATAGCGAGAAAAAATTATGAATTGAATAAGTATTTGCGTAAATGATACTGAAACAACTTCAAACTTAACAAGTTAGTTTAAAGAATTGATACTGGATGCGTTAAGGTGGTTTAATTAAGTTTGGACATTAAGTCACCATTAAGCTGCAGCTTAAAGGTGGCTTAATGGTAGCTTAATGAAGTTTGGACATTAAGCACCTAGAAGCTGCAGCTTAATGGTGGCTTAATGGTGGCTTAAAGGAATTAACTTCTATAAGCCACCATTAAGCTACCATTAAGCCACCATTAAGCGATTGCTTAAAGATGGTCTTTCGTCCTGTGAAACTTTACTTGTTTGTCGGGGTTTGTTTAAAACTTAGTCGTACGTCCGTGTTTGACATATTATTTATATAAAGCTTATATGTTTGTCCGGGTTTGATAGATCATTGGTATAAAGCTTACTTGTCTGACCAGGTTTGTAGATTAAGCTTACCTGTTTATTCGGGTCTGTGTAAAGCTTACATGTTTGTCGGGTTTGACAGATCATTGGTATTAAGCTTACTTGTTTGACCAGGTTTGTAGATAGCTTTATCAGTTTGGATCATCACAGAATGAGTCTTGGGATTGAGGAACACTTTTGTATAGTTATTGAAGTTAACCCCTCCTTCTCCTTGCACCTTTATAGCATACGTCACACCAGATGGTAAACTGGGAGGCATCTGTTGGACAAACATTAATATTGTAATCTCATAGAAACATTTATTGTGGTATGAAATGAAATAACTACATGTAGTATGATGAAATGAATAAATGTGGCAAGTATACACAGAGGTGATATGACTACATATGAAGTTGAATATGCCATTTTTCATAGAATCAGTATAATATCTCATAATAATTTATTTCATCAGAACTCATTTAATATGGTGGAAATTCCAAACGCTCAAAATTCATTAAAAAAATGAAACTTTAAATTGAACAATTTCAGTCAATCTGAAAATTTAATTTTCTTGTGGTGAAAAAGTCTAAAATTAAATCCGCTATTATGGTAGATTTTTATATATTTCACATACAAATACTTACCTTTAAAGGAATTGATAACAATGTTGAATTGACAGAATCTATCGTATAGAAAAAAAAAATGAAATGAATGCTATGTTATAATAAATATATGATTTTATTAATATTAGAATTATTCTTATCTTTCGATTAAGGTATGGAATTTGTTCATCATTTCACTAAACAGCATCGTCATCAAAAAATAAAATTATCTTAATAAAGACAGATTCGAAGGAAAACCTGATAGGCTTATTTTTCCAAACAGCCAATAAATGACTAAAATTATAAACATTCTTCCTCTGTTTTCGTACCTGTCATCCTCCTTTCAGACACGATAGTGTTATTGTTGTCGTCTAAAAGACTGGCCACCACCGTGGTGCCAGGAACATTCGTGGCGTCCAGAAGGTGGACAATCACATTCAAGTCCAGGTTCGGACGGATTGTCTTTGGGAACATGACAAGGTACGAACTGAAATATTCAAATGAAGAAATAAATACTAGTTCATATATACTCTATAGCTTGGTTTTATAATTTGAAGTATTAATCCCATTTACAGTTTTTCATACATTTTCAGTTAACCATATTAGATAGATAAAAGGTTTATGTGATTAAGGCACCATTCTAGCAATAGGGATCATTACGTAAACAAAAATTAATCTATTTATATAAGGATACTTGGATACTAATTTGTCTTCACTCAGAAAAACTGATCTGGAAAAGAAGGTTTTTAAAAGAACTTTCTATGTAACAAATTCCTTTTAACACATGAATCTTTTAGAAGATTTGATTAAAACTGGTTCACTGGTTTTAGGAAGTAATGCAATTTACAAGCTGGTCGACATTAGCGTCAGAAAGTGGAAAAAATGTAAGCAAGAAAAACCGAATACTAAGTAAAATCTTTGATTCATCGGAGCAGAAGAGATATATACATGTAGTAAACTTCATTTAATTACTAGTTACTTACTTTTTGGCAAGACAAGATGAAATCAAAAGGATTAAAGTAAAAAGTCCAAGTTTCTCCATGAATGATTAAAATATGTGCTCTTAAAAAAGAAATCTAAGTCAGATTTACTACAATAGGGCCTGAACATTACGTACATTATTCATATATACTAAAATTTTGGAAAGTCCTGGAGGATATTTTCCATAGGAGCATATTTCGCACTCTTATTTACAATATACGGGATATCAATCTTAACTCAAAGATTTTTTTAAATCAATGGAAAAACCAGAGACATGATTAATTTGGAAAAGGCCTTTATCGAAATTTTGTTAAACCTTGACGCTTTAATTAAAAAAAAAGTAGTGGTAATAAACAATTATGGGTTATTTCCCAAACGGCTATTCCACAGGAAATCTAAATAAAAAAGGAATTAAAACGTCTTCTCTTGTATTCATATATAAATTTTACCTATTCCCCCTGAGAAGGCCTCTCCATTTTTTTTTGGATAATTGTGTTGTTTTTGGCGAAAAACCGTTGATGGAACGCAACACTATCTTCGTAATGTTGAAATACAATGTTGCTGTTAATTTGCACTTTTTGTATTTGATGATGTGAAAGCATATAGTCATTTGCACTTGGAATTTCCAGATATATAACGTAAAAGTGGTGTTTAATTTGCTCATTAAATTTGACTTATTATAAATAATGTATTACTCTACACCTGAAATAGGTGAAGCTAACGAACAATGATTGATATATAAATCTACAAAAAAAAGGTGGTAAAAAAGTTAGGAAAACCGTTTAAAGAAACCTTATTAAACCGAATTTCTATTAATTAGAGTTCCTCGAGCAAGGTCATTCTCCTGTATAAAAATTATCTCATTCGCACACAATTTCTAAGTAAAACTACTATTTATATTTCAACAAATATTCATCATCAATCGAGCAATTTTGTCAAAACTGTTTTATTTAACGATTATACATGTATATTTTAAACATTATATAAATGTTTAGTTATTAGTCCCCTACCAGTGAAACTGGAGGGGACTATAGGTTTCCTCTGAGTCTGTCCGTCCGTCTGTCTGTCTGTCCCACTTGGTTTTCCGCACTTTTTTTTCTAAACGCTTGCACATATTGAGCTAATTTTTGGTATGTGAGTGTATCTTGATGAGTTACAGATCAAGTTTCCATTTCGTTCCTCTTCAATGATTTTTGAAGGAATTGCGACCTTTTCAGTTTTTCAGGGTTTTCCGCATTTTTTTTCTAAACGCTTGCAGATGTTGAGCTGATTTTTGGTATGTGACTTAACCTTGATGAGTTATAGATCAAGTTTGCATTTCATTCCACTTCATTGATTTTTGACGGAATTATGGTATTTTCAATTTTTAACGGGAACCAGATTACACTTGCCGGTAGGGGACTAGTATTGCTAATACAATACTCTTAGAATGCTTGTTTATTAACATCTCTAATAGATCATGAATGATTATTTCATATTTAGTAATTATCATTAGAGAGTAAAATATAAGTCTGAGACATCAAGTTATGAACACATTTAATAAGAATAAAAAGGAAAATAGAATGGAAATTGAACTTTTCGTATAAGTTTTTGGGAAAAAAAGATGAAGATAACAAGCATTCATCTAATCCTAAAAAAATCCTTCAAATTATACGAATCATGAACAGAGCAAAAACATGGACCCCTTTAAAACCAGATCCGGGAAAAGATGCCTAGGGGTTTTAAGCATCCCCTGTGAACTGGGCATAAACTGCTAGTCCCTATATTTATAAGGAAAACAATGGATTAACAATAATTGTGCAATATGTCAGTTAAAATATTACTCAGTTGTAGGTTGTTTTTGCAAAAAAAGTCATCATAACGACCATAGCATTTGTGAAATGCTGATTTCAAACAAGAGTGTTGAAAGCCCTGTGAGATCTACTTATTTGTCAGTAGCCTGGCTCAGTTTAAAATTGATAGTTGAGAATATGCTCTTGCAAGCTTATCAGCTGAGAGACATAAGCACCATATGCAGGTGATCATGGAATTTTAATATATTGATAAGGGAAGATTACGATGGAAAAACTTAAGTCAATCCCTTTCTCATATTCTTTAAGTGTATTATTGTGTGTGTAAACCTTTGATTTTAGAACACTCGTTTTTTAAAAAATAATTTTGAATTAGAATATATATCCTTTAATGAAGATGATTGACTTTACCAAAAATATCATATCATAATCATTTAATTAATCAATAGTGAAATTATTTGTGACAGTAAATTAAGATACAGATTTATAAAATCAGAAGTGACGTTAATTTTGTACCAAATACAATGATTGCATAAAAGGAAAAGAGATTTAAATTCTATAATTTTAATCATCGTGATAGAACAGATTAGAATATGATGTTTGTTCAATGAACTATGATTTGGCAAAATATTTATAATGGAATTGATAAGAATAGACAAATGAAATCCTTCGATACGAAGTAATAAAATTACTTCCGTTGTTATATCTGAGCTCATTAACATTACAGTCATGGGTATCTCTGTATTAGAAGGTTGTGCAAGGTATGCTCAAAAGTAAGTTTCAAGATTATTGCAAAGCATCCATTGAAAAGTAATTTTATATCCGGGACCTCGATTACCCTCTAAGCATATAATACCCTGTTTCTTATCTCTCTCTTGAAAACGTTTGCTCTTCATATCTTTATTGACTTCTCGGTATTCTCAATTGTACAACCAGTTGATTCTTACGTCGCGGGTTCGAGTCCCACTGTGGGACGTGGAGACCGGTCTTTCGGATGAGACCGTATAAACCGAGGTCCCGTGGCGCAGTAGGTGCTGGCACGAAGAAGAACCCTCACTGCTCAATGGCCGTAAATGTCGAGTATAGGACAAAATTTGCAGCTCTCCACCGGCAAGTGGTGGCGTCTACATATGAGTGAAAAATTCTCGAGAGGGAGGTTAAACAACATAAAACAAACAAAACAATTTTACAACCTTTTTGAACTTTGACAATATTTAGACTAATCTAAAAACTTCTGTAAATTAAAAGTATATTAATTTATTTTGATCACATTTCAGGATTGATGTCTACAAGTTATCCCAAGAAAACATAAGAAACTTGTAGTTGGCGTACATTGGCTATTAAGATTATAGTAAGGAGCGGATCCAGGATTTGAAGTTAGAGGGGCGCCAGCCAAATATATAGGCAGGGAGTCTAAGGCCCAGAGAGCGAAGTCCTATGAAACTCCTGTGTTCTAGAGAATTGGTAGGGCAAAAATAAATTCTTCTAATTTGGCAGTTTTACTATCTTTGATGAGAATTATAAACTTCTGAACATTCGCATGAGGAATCAAAGACAAGCTGTCAAGCCACTTGAAGCTCCTGCCTTGTTAGAATATTTTGTTAGGCAAACTGTCCAACAACAATAATAATAAGAAATTTGATAACCATTATTTCAAAGCTTTAAAAATTAATTCTAAGCAATGTTCAAAATTGAACAATAAAATATTTACAATTGAAAGACATGTCAAAAGATTTAAATGTATAATTTTACACTTTAAAGGAAAGATAACTCTTCATGAAGGTATGTGTAGTTCTAACTTAGCGAAATGATGTTACAGTAAATGACATGATGTGAACTGTACATTATTTTCTAAGTATTTAAATTTAAATGTAAAGCAAGCAAAAAATTACATAATAACAGAAGATTCTTTTCTTTTGCTATAGTTATTGTCACACTGGAAAATACTTTGAATGATGGCATCATTCTGTTTATGAAATATATGGCGAGTGAAATGCATGTAGCTACAAGAATTTGGTAAATAAGACATACAAACAGATCTTAAAATGGATGTTGAGTAATATCAAGTGAATTGATCAGGTAAATCTGCTGATTATTTTAATCAAGAATTTCTTATTTATGACAAGTAAGTGCATAAATCACAGTCAGCCTCCCCATTGTCATTTTTGATGATATTATGGAATGCAAATATAAGTAATAAGCAACGATATTCAATGAACATGGCATTATAAATAGCATTTGCTGTGCTGGAATATTTTCCATGATGCACTAGCGCGCATATTGGAATATGCCTAGCAGAGCTATTGCTCGTCATAACGCCATGTTCACCAAATAACATTGTTTAGCAAGATATAATATCAACTTAACTTGCAGTAGTGATTAAGAAGGCTTAATAGAAAATTCTGAATATTTCTTAAGTTCATCATTTACTTCCATTGCAGTGGAAGAACAGCACGATATCTTCAGTACGGAAGAGCAAACATATACATGATAAAACGCGTGAAGTCGAAATCAAAGTTGAAGAAAGAAAATTATTCTTTATTGTTGGAATTACCATTTTTAAAGCTGGAAAATTCAACTTTTAAGTTGGAAAACATTGAAGTTTGAATTCTAATATACGCTTCCATATAATTCACTAATTTGCAAATGTAATCAAAGAAACTGTTTAAGATATAGTAACACTCAAAAACATGATAATACAAAAATATTTTTATTCATAGTTCGAATCAGTAAACATCTTAAATAGTTTCATATGTAACAGAGAAGAAACAGCACATGGTACAGCAGAACTACTCATTAGTTTGATGAGAAGAGAATGTTACTATTCTCAGTCAGGGTTAAAATTTCATGGATATGTCACTAGTATTTTAGTGATACTAATTCAACTTGATCATAGGTATCCCTTACTGCTAAGGCTAAAATTAAAAAAAAGTGGCTAAGAATTGATTTCAATTACTTTCTACACAAGGTATTTTAATGAAAATACAAATATGTCCTTATATCATTATTGCATTCCACTTTGCTAGGTAAATGACTGTAATCAGTTTATGTGAAAAGTATCTAAAGTCTATCTTATCATCCCATCATTCTACTTGGCTAGGTAAATGACTGCAGTTAGTTAATGTAAAGAGAATCTAAGTTCAACCTTAGCAGTACAGAAGCACTCTGTTCCACAAACATCACAGACCTGAATCCGCCAAAACTTTTGATGTGTAGAAGGTGGTAGCTTGGTTTGCTTTAAAGAAAAGATGCATGGACTAGAAATTTATAA